CATATGCCCAGATTGTAAGAGGAACACAGGACACAGTGGGCTTATCTACATTATAAACAAGCTAAGGTTAAGTTTTTGGTTGCAAGGTTAAGTAAAATTCATTTGTTCAAAGTATGTCCAAATTGTAAAAGTCATTCCCATACCACGGCACATGTACACCTACACACACACGCACACACACACACACACACACACACACACACACACACACAAATAAGATAAAAAATGTTTAAAGGAAGACAAAATAATAATATTAGCCAAAGACTGAGCATACTTTCACTAAAAACAACTACTAAAAAAATGTATTTCCTAAAAAAGGAAGAAATCAGCCACTTAGGAAAGACAAAATGCTAGGGGGAGAGCTCAGTTGGTAGAGTATTTGCCTAGCATGCCTGAAGCCCAGGGTTCAGTACTCAGCACCATACAAACTGGATGTGGTATCATACATTTGTAATCCCAGGGTTCTAGATGTGGAGGCAGGAAGATCAGAAGTTCAAGGTAATCCTTGGCTGCATAGTCAGTTTGAAGGCAGCCTGAGCTATATGAGACCCTGTCTATGGAAAGAAAAAAGAAGAAAGAGGAGAGAAAGACAGGAGAGAGAGAGAGAGAGAGAGAGAGAGAGAAGGGAAAGTATGGTCAGCCAAGAAATTGGTAAGTAAATGACAAAAACTTGAATAAATGCTAATTGAATGAATACTAAAATAACCAAATAAGTAATTTAGGTGGGATGAAATAAGGTAGAACCATGTACACAAGAGACTGATGTCTAGAATCTGTAAGGAAGTAAAAATTTGCACAGCTGGAGAGATAGGTCACTGGTTAATAGTGCATATGCTCTATCAGAGGACCTGGATTGGGTTCCTCATACCTCCTTTGGGTGGCTCACAACCACCATAACGCCAGCTACAGAGAATCCCATACTCTCCTCTGACCTCATCAAGCACTATACACATGTACACAAATCCATATGCACATATATATATACATATTTGTTTAAAATAAGTCAAAAATTAAAACTAAAATAATCATCCAATTGATAAATGAGCAGAAGAATGGAACAGATAGTTCTCAAAAGAAAAAATAAATGTGACCAATAAATACATGAGCAAACTGCACAGTATCCTTGGTCATTAGGGAAATGTAAATTAAAATCATACTGAGATACTATCTCACTCTAATAAAAATGGTTATAATAAGGAAAACAAATAATAACAAATGCTGGTAAAGATGTTGGGTAAAGGAACCTTTATATACTGCCAGTGAGAATGTAAACTAGTACAACCACTATGAAAATCAGTGTGATAGTTCTTGAAAAAACTAAAAATAGAAGTAACATATGGTGAAGCTATCCCACTCTGGTGTATACCCAAAGGAATCTGAGTCAGCACACCATAGAAATACTTGCACATCCACTTCACTGCAGCACTATTCACAGTATCCAAGAAACAGAATCAACTTGAATACCTACCAACAGATGAATGGTTAGAGGAAAGGTGGAGTCTATGTACAATGGAGATTTATTTCATCAAAATAAAGAACAGAATTATGTCATTTGTCAGAAACTGAGTAGACCTGGAAACATTGTGTTAAGGGAAATAAACCAGACAAATGTCAAAATTAAATATGCAATCTAGATTTAAATACACTTTTCTGTAAATAAACCCCCACCCATGGGGGGTTGGAGAGATGGCTCAGGGGTTAAGAACATTGGTTGTTCTTGCAGAAGACCCGGGTTTGAATCCCAGCACCCACATGGCAGCTGACAACTGTCTAACTACAGTTCCAGGAGATCCAACAGCCTCTTCTGTCCTCCACGGGCATTGCACGACACAGGTGCATTTACCTATACTCAGGCAATGCACACATACACACAAAATAAAAATAATAAATAAATTTTTTAAAAAACCCATCCTATGCTCTGTTAGCAATCCCAATAAACTCATTAGGATTTTAAAAAAAGAACAGGGCTAATAGAAACCTTCATTATTCCACCAAGGTTGACCCCCATGTTGGCAAATCCTTTGGTCTTTGATTTCTTATTCTTATTTTTAAATAACCCACTTTAAATTTCATTGTATATATTTTTTTATGTAACCTGCTTCAAGTTATTTCTGAAAAAATGTGTTTAAAATTGCTTCTCTTTAGAATAATAAAAACACTAAACACTAAATACATATATATGTATGAATGAATGTATGTATATATATGCATGTATATGAAAGTAGAGGGGACTGTGTAGGAGAGGAAGGGATCTTAAAAGGGAGGAGGGAAAACAAGAGCACACAATGGGAAAAAAATAAAGACAACTATTGGATTTTTAAAACACGGAATTTAGATTTACACACAAACCAATACGGAGAAGTGGAGTCTTTTATTAGCCTACTCAAACTTGAGCTGGCCCTGTGTTTGTTTGGCCAACATCATCATGGACCATGGATGTAATGACATGAGCTAAGTTGCTGAGAATTTTTTTTTTAGTTCAGGTTTTTGATGTTTCTGGGTTTTGTTTTATTTTGTTTTGTCTTTTAAAACTGTCAATAGCCTTTATTTCATTTTTTATTAATTAAATTTGTTCTTTGGGGGCTGGAGAGATTTCACAACAGTTAAGAGCACTGGCTGCTCTTGCAGAGGACCAGGGTTCTGTTCCCAACACCTACACAGTGGCTCACAACAGTAACTCTAGCTTCAGGGTATCTGATGCCCTCCTTCTATGTTGGCAAATCCTTTGGTCTTTGATTTCTTATTCTTATTTTTAAATAACCCACTTTAAATTTCATTGTATATATTTTTTTATGTAACCTGCTTCAAGTTATTTCTGAAAAAATGTGTTTAAAATTGCTTCTCTTTAGAATAATAAAAACACTAAACACTAAATACATATATATGTATGAATGAATGTATGTATATATATGCATGTATATGAAAGTAGAGGGGACTGTGTAGGAGAGGAAGGGATCTTAAAAGGGAGGAGGGAAAACAAGAGCACACAATGGGAAAAAAATAAAGACAACTATTGGATTTTTAAAACATGGAATCTAGATTTACACACAAACCAATACGGAGAAGTGGAGTCTTTTATTAGCCTACTCAAACTTGAGCTGGCCCTGTGTTTGTTTGGCCAACATCATCATGGACCATGGATGTAATGACATGAGCTAAGTTGCTGAGAATTTTTTTTTAGTTCAGGTTTTTGATGTTTCTGGGTTTTGTTTTATTTTGTTTTGTCTTTTAAAACTGTCAATAGCCTTTATTTCATTTTTTATTAATTAAATTTGTTCTTTGGGGGCTGGAGAGATTTCACAACAGTTAAGAGCACTGGCTGCTCTTGCAGAGGACCAGGGTTCTGTTCCCAACACCTACACAGTGGCTCACAACAGTAACTCTAGCTTCAGGGTATCTGATGCCCTCCTTCTAGCCTCCACGGACATGACATGGCTGCACTCACATATATGCAGTTTAAACATTCATATACATAAAAAAATGTAAATAAAATAAACTTGTTCTTTGACAATTTCATCTATGTTACAATACATTCTGATTGCTCTCACCCACACTCTTCTTTCCCTCCTCTCCCATCCATCACCACTACCCCCTTCTTTGCTAAGTTCTTTTCCTACATTCAAGCATTTTGTTTCTGATCTGAGCTTTACATGACAAGTGGCTTCTCTCTGTCAGAACATTCCTGAAGGTATTTAACTGCCTTGTTGTGAAGATGCCCAATCAGACACAGAGACCCACTTGCAGAAGAACTGAGGACTCTCAATAACAACAGCTGAGCTCCCAGCCAACAACCAGCACTTACTGCCAACCATGTAACTAAGGTCATTTTAACCTTCCAAGCATTCCAACTGCCTTCACTTTATATGGAATTCTCCAGTCAACCCATGGAATCCTGAGAAACATCAGTGTATTTCAAAGCACTCTCTTAAGGATTTTTGTTATACAGCAATACATAACCACATTAGAAGCTCAAAATAGTTAGTGGTTTACTTTTAAGAGATCTAGTTAATGAAAACGGAGTCTATGTCACGTATATATAATAATCAGTCCAATATATTCTTCCTCTATAAGATGCTCTGTTTTTTTAAGATGTATACCAAACCTTAACAAAACTACGAACCGTCAAGTCACATGTTGCCATTTCACTCAGTATAGCAAGAAAACACATTTTTGAACAACTATATGAGGCAATATACAAAGCAAAACCAAACTGAGAGGCTATTGCTGTAGCTAAATGCTTTAGCTTCTACCTCAGTGAGTGAGCCATAGCTCCTTCCCAGGAGAATCACAATTACTTGAGAAGTTATGAAGCATCTTGTACCAGCATAGTCATGTTTTATTCATTTCCTCTTGAAATCTCTCTTGACAGAACTTTTTTTTTCTTCTCCAACAATAGCAAACTTCAAAGCTACATAGCACGGAAGCTGTGATAAAATAGGCTTTTTTTTTTTT